CTCTTTCCCACCCTTCACCAGACTAAAAACAGGACAAATATATGGAATAATCCAAGTTATTTCAGCAAAAACGTAGTATTCTGCTAAATAAGAGGAAGCATTTATTACTGTATGCTGATGAACTCCATAGGTATCAGTGGTTTCAGCAGTTTTGCCTCAGGTAAGTTCTCCCAGTGGTACGCAGACTAATTAAAATGCTCAACACAACTAGTCCCCTTGAGTATCAAGAGGGCATTATCTGGATTTTAAAAAAAACCAAAACAAAAAGAAAAAACAAAACAGAACAAAAAACAGGGCAAGAACATTTTATCTAGGAATCAGAAGAGGACAGCCACTATACTTTAAACATGAATACCTGGGAGCATTTCTGGTATTTCTCCTTTTCAAGTTGCAACCAAGGCACTCCCATCCTGACATTAGAGTTGAGCCGGCAGCCTCTCACCTGCACCAAAGGTGGTTTCCAGCGCAGGTTCTTTAGTGGAGCAGGAGTGAAATGGAAAGAGCCAGTAGGACGTTTCTTAAGCAGCAGCCTAACTCCAGCAGGGTTCTCTCGCAACTTTGCCACCAGATTTTTTAGTTGCCATCCAACCTGGAAGAGAATAAAGACATCTTTTCTTTAGTATTGCTTTTCTGAAAGTGAACAAACAAGAAAAACACGCATCTCCCAAATCAAACTGCCTGTTAACATGAACCTAAAGACAGAAAAGAAGAGATCCAAAAAACCCAGAATGAAGAAAAGAATTGGAAATCTCCGTTTTTGGAAAGTGGTTCTTTGTTTTGTTTCAAATAAAGATCTCTACTTAAGCTGTAAACACTGGAGATATCAAACAATGCTCTTTCTACCTCAGCTCCCGTTCTAGAAGGATGAATGGATGTGCTCAAACTGAGTAACATAGAGATTCACAGTGAACTACTTTTGTCCTGTTTCTTTCCCACATTGAAAGGCATTGCATACCTGTGCTAAGCAAAAATGTAATCATTTTATCCAAGTTCCCAGATGCAAACAATTTGACAAATACTTGTGGGGTTTTTTTAAAGCTGTTTTTATCTGCATTTCAGTAGATTGTAACAATGCATTTCAAACCAGGCCTTAAAACCAACATGAAGTATTTTAATGTGATGCATTCAGCATTTAAACATGAAATACTTCATATTTATTTTATCAAAATATTGCAAAGAATAAAATTTTTCTTGAAAAACAAAATGTTTAAAAGCCTCAAAGATTTCAACAAGAAAACACGAGAACCAGCCTCTAACCCCATCCATTCAGGACCTGTGAGGAGTGAGCGAGCTTCACAGGGCAAGCATAAGGGAAGGTTGGTAAGGCTGTTTGTTACTAACCACAGTTTGCCGATTAACTTGGATCACTTCATCACCAGCATGAATCTTCTGAGATCGATCAGCAGGGGACTACAAAGAGGAAAATAAGAGGCAAGTGCTTCAGCAGGTTTTCTTCCCTTCCATAACAACCCCCACCAAGTTAACTCAAAGGTTGTATCTGTAATGAAGAGCATTGCTGAAAATTTTCACACAGGTGATCACACATTACATCTGTTGATGACTTAAATACAAACAAATTCAACATATGATTTATTTTTTTATACCAGGGGAACAAAAAAAGCCTACACTGTCACAGGCCAAACTGTACTTAAGTCATGGGACAGTCTCCACTGGCCTTTTGCCTCCAATTTGTATGGTAGTTTCAGACAGTATGAGAGGACCTCTGTCCTAACATAGCAACTAGTTTAAACTTACCGATTTAAAAAAAAAATACACTAAGATTTTGAATGTACAGAACAAAGGACCAAAAACCCTCCAACCCACAAAATACACCCATTGCACCTTCCCTTTTTGTTCCTTAATGTAAATACAAGCTACCAACTTTCATGCACTTTTACCTGCCTGCATCATCAAGGTCAACAGATAAAAATATATTTGCACACACCAAGTGTGTATAGACAGGTATTTTTCAAATACCTATCTAATAATAATACACATTAAAATACAATTTTCTTGGAACAAAAACTAAGCTCTAGGGAGCCATTAGTGAGGAATGGCTAAACGTGTCAATATTTATTTAGATTTATCTACAGCTGGTGCCCTGCACAAGCGATCACTGCAGTTATTAAGAACTGTGTCGCTGCTATAACACACTAACTCTGAACAGCCTTGACAACACCCAAAGTGCACAAGCATACTACCTTGATATACTGCACCCCGGTCATGGGACAACTTCTCCTCCCATTCCCCCCACCCCATGAGTAACCACCTGGCAGCACGCCAGCTCTTCCTAGTGACTCCAGAACTAAGCCCTTGGATTAAGGACTCTTCCTCATCATCACACCTTCAGAGGTCAAGTAACTTTTGTATTAGAAGGAACTGTAGGAATAAACAGCGCAACAAGGGAAGAAAACATGGGGGAATTTGTGGGAGGCTCCAGCTATCATGAGTAACTCCATTTCTTCATTGTCTTCTCACTTCCTCTGAGAGGAAATGCCTCTGTGGAAGGCTGCATATATATGAGTCAACGAAGATCATGAAAAAATGCTGGGCCAAAGTCAAGTTTGTGAAAAACAAAGCTCATTTCAAGCTGTCCTTTGGGTGATCAACAGCCCGTCTCGGGGAGGGTGGGGTACCCTTGCACAGAGGACTCCTACAACGAGTGCCAGCTAGCACAGCATTGTGAGAACTGAGGAAAGAGCAAAGTTTACATCTAGGGTAATGTGAAACAGGAAGTCACAAGTAGGACAGCACAACTCAGGAATCCTCTCGGCTGATTGGTATCAAATGTATGGACTTCCCCAGTCCTTCCAATGTACAATACTATTAATTTTGGGGTGCAGTTTCACTGCATTCCAACACATCAGCTTCTAGGGATAGCTACTAAAATACTATTCCAAACCTAGCAAGAAAATTGACCCAGCCTGGGTTATCTAAAAGTTCCCATGCCACTAGAAACACATCAGTTGTTTGCTGATCTCTCAGTCACTTGCCAAGTTTTGTTGCTCCAAAGGAAAGAACCTCTCCAAAGGAAGAACCAGTGTTGATAAAAAAACAGACCTTTAGGTCAACACTCAAAGCTATAGCAGCAACACAGCCCCACTCCCGGCCTCCAAAACGAGATCTACATGCACAGGCAGCTTTCAGCAGTCAACATTACATTCTTTCACATTTATTGGATGTTGAAACTGCTGTCAAAGTGGACTTGCTCCTGTTGCAGATCCTATACAGGGTTATGCCAGGGCGATAGCATAAAAGCTATAAAAGCTTTCAGTTTTCACTCTGAACTGCAAGCACAGATTTCCACCCACTTCTCCCTGGCCCCTGGACTTGGCAGGGGTACAGCTAGAACCACTGGTTCTTTCCCATTCACCAAAAAAAAAAAAAAAACCCAAAACCCAAAAAACCCCACAGAAAAAAAAACCCCACCCAGGCATCACTGCAAAAGACAAGTTCCTCCACTCTTCTTTTCTTTCAGTCACTGCTCCTGCAGAGCAGCATTGTCTGGCAACACCACAGCATCACCCGCCAGCCTCAGCTGCTGGCCAGAGGTCCACTGCAACGACTACTCAGAAGCCTTTAATAAAGTCTCAGCTACAGAGAACTCATAGTGCAAGAAAAAAAACAAGCAACCACCTACAGCAAAAAATACAAATCGCCTATCATGCCAACCATTTCCTTCCAGCAGACCGCTCAAAGTTTTACTCTTCTGTAGTCTTTTTACTCTCCAAGGTAATTTTGCCCACGGACAGCTCATTGATTTCATTACTCATTACTGAATTCAGCACGCTACCACCTAAACATTCCCATCAGGGGAGATTGCCTTTGCCAGTGGAGAGCAAATACATTCAAGACTTTGTTAAGCAAGATACTGTAAGCATTCACAACAGCAGATACAGTAACTTATTAAAGCAATTATTTTAATGCCAAGCATTTGAACTAACTCATGTACTTGCAGAAACTGGTTTAATTAGCCTAACAGTGAAACACGCAGACACAAAATATTTACAAATTGTGGATAAACAAATGATGCATCACACAGTATTGAAAGAGGCAATATCATGAAAGTCATATGTAAAACATGAAGCAGTAAAAAGCTCAAACTCAAAGCTACCATCAGATAGCCTGAGTTAATCTACATTTACTTCACTTACGTTTTCTGTAGTTCCAGTAATTACATGTAATCCATCATAAGTTGATTTGATGTACATTCCCTAAATGTAAGCAGAAAATGAAAAACAAGTTTAAAGGCAAAAAAAAACCACGTAACTTATCTGATTAAACAACTGTTGGCAACAGACCCAAAGCATTATTAAAAACACTTAACAATTCACATATTTTCCATAGAAAAGTGTGTGGTCTAATACTACAACATTCTAAACCTCTCCACAGATCACTTTTACTGTAATTAATTATAATATTTATAATGACTTAAAACACCTAATATAGGGAATGCAATTTAGAAACGCTGTCTGGTTGGTAATAGCAAGCATTGCTGGTTTTGCTGCCTCGGTCTTTGGCCTTGAACAAAACTTTATTACCTTAATGCCTGGCCTGCACTAGAGAATTACAGGTTTTACTAGATGGCCACCAGCTCTCTCCACACAAAGCACCCTTACACAGGTGGGCTACAAATATTGCCCACATGTTCCTTTACAGTTTCTCTTGGCAAGTCAATATACAGACCGCCTTGTAACCACAGCGCTGACATAAGCAATAAAAGCTCTGACAGAACTAAGTATTTGTGGCTCTGTCTGTTAATGCTGAACGTGAGTGCAAGGACAAACTCTGATGAAGTGGGTGTTGACCATATGAACATCAAATTAAAAATCACTAACAGGTTATTTAATAATTGCCTAGATTTCTCCATAAAGAGACGACCAGCACATTGGTTTCATCATTTATGAACAAATGCAGCTCTACTTTTCCTACCTACATCTGTTGTTAGAAGCACTCATACCGAGCTGTACAGAACTGGATGTTATTCAGGAGTCGTAGGCAGCTTATCTGCCTGAAGTTACCACACTTGCTTAGAAGTACAAGTCTTTTTTGCCCCTTCCTCTCCAGCCAGTTCCCTTCCCTGTTTACCTGCCGATATCCAGTTCTGTGCACCTACCTCCTCATTTCTTACTTAGTCCAAGCTAGGGTGACTCTGCTTTGTTATAGCTTGTGCATTAACAAAAAGGTCCCCATAATTTCAAGAACACGACTGATTCAATCAAATCCAGGGGCCTAGGTAAAACTATATAGTACAGTAAGACTGTAAAGCTTCCTCTAAAAGTGTTCATCTCTTCTGCCTTCAGGGCCAGGGAGGGAATACAAATGCACTTAATTTAAATTCCCTCCAACTCACTCTAACATGTCTGTTCCCTAGCCAGAAAATCCACTAAGATATCAAACTCAGTTTCTCATAACCAGCCCTCAGCTAAGCAGCATCCACTGAACAAACTAGATTCAGTAATGCTACACAGCCACTGAACATTTTAAAGGATTTCTCATATCCCTGCTAACAACAAGCCTCGAAAATCTTTATATTCTTCTCAAACTTGCTACAAACGCAGACAAAAATGTGTCTTTCAAAACACAAATATTATTTCTCATTACCTTCTCCCTTCCCCAGCCCCACCTAGAAAAACAGCAAGTTAAGGTAAATTGCAAAAATGAAATAACCGACTTCTGTAAATTCCCCAATATCCTGGTTAAAACACAAATCTGCAACAATTTACTACCAAAAATTATATCTGGGATCAAACCAAACATGCATACCCATGTCTGGCAGCCACTCCAGCCCACTGCCTGAGAATTAATTTTCAGAGTTCCTCCCCATACCGTTTTCTGTTCCCCATAGGATATGGTTTCGAAACACCTTGCTATACATACACATGCAGTGGCTCGCAAGACTACCTGTTAAACACTGGGGACATCAGGACACTCCAGAATCAGTTCTTACCAGGCCTTCCCCAGGTTTAATGTTGGTTAAATGAACCTCCTCCAGACATGCACACTGGCTCATCAATGGATCCGTAGTTGATCGGATGGCTTTATCACAAATGCCATTTAAAGTCTTGGCCTACAATGAGAACACACAAAAACCCGTTACAAAATTTCTCTCCTGGTTTCCTACTCTTTCAGTTTTCAAAAATGGAAAGGAAATGAGTTCCAAAACTTGGCCCACTAATAAATTATAGCCAAGAATCACCAAAATAGAAGATTCATTTGTACAGATCTGTTCTACAGCATGTTTATCTTCTCACTGTAACCTAGTACAAACAACCTGTTTCCATTAGTGCCACCTCATCATCGCTAACAGATGTCAACACATCCTCTGTTTAAAAAAAGTAAACACACAAAATATATATTAAAAAAAATCAGAGTTGGGGTTTGTTTGCTTTAACAAAAATATAACCCATTGAAACATTTTGATGATTCCTTGTGGGAACAATTGGCAGTTTTTCATGTTGTTCTTTATTTCTGCTACGAGAATAAAATCAGCCATGTGTCAGAAAAAGTGAGGTGCTGGCCACTGACTGATCTGCACAAAGCTTTACAGTATAAGGTAGGACACCTAGCACTTCAGTGTTTCAGCATTACTTCTCTCCACTGTGCCTCTGAACTGACCTCTTCTGGAATGCTTACGCAGGCAAGGTTCATATTTCCTTTTGACCAAAACATAACTGATCCTAAGCCAACATTATAACTAAAGGCGAATTCTGACCTTGTGTGTGTGTCAGTAAAGACAGATACAGGACGGTTTTGTCTTGTAGAACTTTCAACTAGTAGAATGGCTAACTAGTTAGGGAAAAAAAAAAAAAAAAAAAAACACAAACACACACAAAACAGTCCAAAAATCTGCAACCTCTCTACCCCCACAAATTTCATTAATACCCCGCAGTGTGTTTTGGGTCTTGACGTTAACTGAAGCAATGCTGAAACTCAAAGTAGGTTACAAAAGCTTAAAGGAGAGAGGAGGGAGGATTCGTACAAAGTACAGTAGTTATACACAATTTGGAAACCTGCAAGGTAAGCCACCTTTCACAAGGGGTTTGAATCCTTCAGTCAAAGTGCACATACGTAATTATAGGATGGGGGGAGTGGTCTCTTAAAAAGACATTGGTTTGGATTACAATGGTCCCTGGAAACAATAGTTCCAACATTTTTTGTTTTGTTTTACTTCAGATTTATAGAGCAGCAATAAAATAAATCAAAACAATGCTTAAGTGTGAATGTGAGGAACTGCTCAAACAAGGGAACTCCAAACAACAATACCTACTTCCAGAGTGGGTGTGCACAAATGGAAAAAGAAAGATGAAAAAAGATCCCTTTTACGTGGTCCCATTATTTATGGATAAAATTATTTTTAGTTATTGTGCTACTAAATTCCTAAGCATCTATGAGCTAGCGGAAGGCCTTATCAAAGAGCACAGCCTGGTTCATGTCAAAAGCAGGAAGCGATGATTAACCGTTACAAAATATAAAAAGCATTCCATTACGCTCCTGGTTTGGTCACAAGGCTGCCTCAAACAACCTGAAAACTCAGATCTTTCAAGCTCAAGTACAAGCAGAGACAGAACTTTGGTTCTGTGGCAGGGCAGCTCTTTTACATGAAGAAGCTTAATAAGGCATAGTGTCTACTTATTAAGGCACTAAATGCACATCACAGGTATAACTGGTTTATTTAGCCTACAGCCTATTAGACCGTTCTACAGTACTACCCCTCCCTTGAAAAATTTGAGGACTACATTATCTTGAAAAAAATAGTTGTGCAATGAAACTTTAAGGAACGCTTGACTCCATGCTATTACACACACTACCTGTCTGTTCAGATTTGACTTCCTCTGCATCAAAGAATATTCACAAAAAGGCCTATAACAATGTTTACTTGCATGATGCGCTTGTATGTGTGGAATTGGAAAGCTGTTGTCAGTACAGTCACAGTGTAGAAGCCACCAAAATAAGTGTGACTGCAGGCAGCTGAGTTTCAACAGAAACGCGTACTTACTACCATCTGAACTTTATCTTCCATGTCAGCCACAGCGCAGTCCTAAAAACAAAACAAGAACAAAAGCCCTACATTAACCAATAAACATATAAACACATCATCTCTGAAAACTCTGCAAAACTGACACTTTAACCTCGAACTGAAATAGTTATTCATGCTGCAGGAATTAATCAGATTAGTTTCACCCAGTAGGGCTCAAATGTACTGTTAAACAACTATTTCTGGCCCTGGCAAAAAGCAGTAATAAACCTTGAAAACTAAGAGAACACGGGATTCAATTACAGCAGCAGACTTTTCCAGAAAAGCAGAATCCTGCACAATAGAACGAGACACTCAGAACACAGGGCATACAAGCTTGCTTTACACCAATAAGCCCCGACTCAGGAGTTCCTCTGTGCCAGGCATCAAAATGAATCTAAAACATATTGTTAAAAATAGAATGAAAAGTGATTTTTTTATAAAAATATGCTATCGATGACATTCCTGAGGGCCAGAGGACTGCAGACAAAGCATTATTTACACAGTCCAGATACAAATGTCTTTGAACTGAAACAAGTTCGTGTAACAAACTACAGAAGTTGTCGCTGTTTTCTGCAAGAAGAGCTGAACTAAAGAATTATATTAGAATCTCAGACTAAAAAGTTAAAATAGCAAGTAAATATTGAAACAAGATTTACAATATCTGTAAGATGAAAACCCCCAAACACCAGCATTTAAACAAGCTTAACTTCTAAGATATTTGCCCTTGACATCTCAAACTGCATAATTACCACACAACGCCCAAGAAATGCATAGCGGAGCCATGAATTGAAGTTGTTCCATATTTCTGGTCATCCTCAACACTTCTGTTCCTCCCTGCTTCTATTCTGCACTTTTAAATACAGAAACAAAAAAAATCCATACTGTCCTCCAGATTCAGACACACCAGGTATATATAAAACAGTTCAGTTATGTTCTCCTCTTCTTTATAATAAATCTTAACACCCCCCTTTCACTGTTGTAATGACCACCAAGGGCTGAAGTCACATTTTTTATATTCTGTCAAAAGCTTCCAGATACTACTACAAAGTTCAGGCTCCATTGTTGTGTTTAGCAGAGAAAAACCATGCTGATGCACATCTGCACGAAGCAATATTGTCACCTATCATCATGCAGCCCAGTTGCTCAATACTGCAAAGTCCTTTTGCTCCTCTTCATTTCTATTTGCACTGATTATTATTTTAACCTTAAAGTTTGCCATAAAACTTCAAGAAACAGAGGAGTAAACTCTGTTCCTTGTATCTATATAGCTGTCATTAAAGTTAACTGGAATCTTACTGCAGTCCCGCCTTGCTTTATTATTCACCCACTTTTATACATCATTTATGATTATGCAGAGCAGCTTGATTCCACGAGAGCCACACTGGTCTCTTCTCCACTATGAGAACTGACCATTTATTCCTATACTCTGTTACCTAATCAGAAATACTTCTGAAGTCTAAAAACTCAAAGATTTTTTCAATTTTATCTCTCTTCCACATCAGTGGACTCCTTCAGACCACTCTAAGGTATCTGCAGTGTCCCAGTACAAAACAGGGTTGATTCTTCCCCCATTAACGCTTCTTCTCACATGCACCTATCCCATTCTTCATTATGGCTCATATTAAGTGGCAGAGAAGTACTATGATGCTTTTTAACAGGCTAGAGTTGTATTCGCCAGCTTCCACTCCCCTGCCATCAAAGGCTGATTTAACTGACAGATTAGGCACCAGTTTTAGTAGTTTTATTAATAAAGTTCAGCAATCTCATATCTCAGTTCCTGTAGCACTCTTGGGTGAACACCATCTGCTGCTAGAAACACTTACTGTTCTACTTCACAATCTGCAGATCTGTAGCTGTAAATCACTGACTTTCTGCAATTGCACACGCAGCGCCCAAACCAGAAGGGCATTCAGCAGCAAGCCAGACTTGTGTGCCTTTGAGCTTACAATATCCAGACACTATCCTTTCACAACAATCCAACTGCTATAATTGGGTGTCATCATAGCTTGACAACTCCCAGGATGTCGCTGTCCTTTGACATCATTCCCTCAAAATGGGGAAAGAATCACCCACGTCACAGGACACAGTCCTTCAGAGTTCAAACAATATATGTCCACAGACTAACAGCTACGAGCACATTC